TAGGTCTTATTAAGGAAATTGATGTTGCAGAAGAAGTAGGTCCTTTAACTGATGAAAGCAAAATGAAGAGGTCTCAAGCAAAAATCAAGTATGGCAGTAAAAGAAGAAATCAAGTGGAGGCAAAAAGCTAAAGTGGCCTGGTTAAAAGAGGGGGATAAAAACACTCATTTTTTTATAAAATGGCAAATGCCAGAGCAAGAGTTTCTTTAATCAGTAAGCTGGAGCGGGAGGGCAGATTGGGGGAATCTGATGCTGAATTAAAGGTAATGGCTACTAATTTCTATAAAAACCTCTATAAAGAGAATTGGCCTATCAAACCCTTTCCAAGAGGCCTTCCTTTTAAACAGTTGAATGAAGAGCAGTCCTATCTCATCGAGAGACCCTTTTCGGAGGAGGAAATTAAAGTGGCCATATCTATGTTGGCAGTTGATAAGTCACCAGGGCTAGATGGGCTTACCAATCTATTTTATGTCAAATGCATAAAGACCCAATTCCAAATATTAGAGTGGTAGCAATTCTCATCATGTTCCTTACATAAAACACACCAATTTAGGGACAAACAAAGATAAGGTCTCTTCTTTTGCAGGTTAGCCATAGTGTTGATCTTACCATAGAAAGTTTCCTAGCAAAAACAACTATTTTAGGAGGGATGGGCCTAGACCAAAATTCTTTGGCAAGGAAAACCGAAGAGGAAGGGGTAGAACAAAGGGACTTGAAGAAAGAAGCATAGATGAAGGAATCATTTAGAGTTAGAGACCAAATTCTTCAATCAAGTTGAGAAAGGTCCAAACAAACAGAGTCCAGAAGAAGCAAGAGTTCAAAAACACATGCAAGTTCATCCTTTAGACCTATACGAAACCCAAAGTCCCAATTTAGAGTCAAAGGGAGAACTAGGGGTGAAAGAAACCTTGAGACTGGCTTCTTTTTAAAAAGGGAGATAGAGTAGAGAGAGGGGAAACGATCTTTTAGAGGTTGAGTGCCTACCCAAATATCTCTCAAAAAAGAATAAAATTACTAGAGTAGACATCAAACCTTACAAAGTTGAGGAATTTAGGGAGAATGCCAAAAATTGCCTTCCAAGGTGATGTGAGCAAAGCCTGTTGAGAAACCCCAACATCCCAACTTGTCTCAGAACCACCATGAATATTGGCCACCACCTCATGCCATAAACTCTCTCTTTCCAGTGGCCACCTCCAAAGCTACTTGCCTAGAAGAGCTTCATTCTTACTAATTAACTTCCCTAGCCCTAAACCCCCTTCTTTTTTATTTCGGTTCACCACTTCCCATCTAATCAAATGATCCTTTTTTTCTTCCCTTGTCTCCCACAAGAAATCCSTCATCAGTTTTTCAATCCTCTTAGCTTCCCTGTTTGGTATTCTAAAGACCGACAGAAAGTAGATTGGCAGGTTGGCAAGTCTTGCTTTGATTAAGGTTACTCTGCCTCCCAAAGAAATGTAATTCTTCTTCTAGGCTGCCAACCTTTTCTCAAACTTATCCACCACAGGACTCCATAATTGGCTGTCCTTTGGGTTAGCACATAGATCCAAGTTTAGTCCAACAACACAACTCTTCTCAAAGTTGATTTTCAAATTAGAGGCACTCTCAAAAAAAAAAAAGGTTCTTCAAATTTCTCACTTTTACTAGGTCACCACCCTCACAAAAAATTATAATGTCGTTTGCAAACTGAAGGTGAGTTACCAGAACTCTATTTTTACCAACTCTCCACCCTCTTATTGACCCAATCCTATATGCTTCTGATAAAAGTTTAATAAAAGCATCAATAACCAAAGTGAATAAGAAGGGGGGACAATGGATCACCTTGTCTTAGGCTCTTACAAGTTGGGAAGAAATCATTGACTACCCCATTGACTAAAATAGAGTAATGGTAGGATGTAATGCGGCCGCTAATCCTTTCACACAATCTATCCCCAAAACCACACTTCCTAAGCACCTCTAGCAAGAAACTCCAATCCACTAGATCATAGGCCTTCTCAAGATCTAATTTACATACAAAACCTTGATTACTTGATCTTCTCATCTTCTCCACACATTCATTTGCTATTAAGATTTGATCAATTATTTGTCTCCCCTGAATAAAGACACCTTGAGCTTGGATAATGATAGATGGGAGCACCTTTTTGATCCTGAAYGACAAGACCTTAGCTAGAATCTTGTAGATGCTGGTCACCAGATTGATAGGTCTAAAGTTTTTTGAATGTTTGGCCTTTTTCTTCTTAGGACCCAGAGCTAGAAAAGTATCATTAACTCCATGACTTATTATTGAACTATCCTCGAACTCTCTGAAAACCTCAAACAAGTCTTCTTTAACTATATTCCAACAGTCTTGAAAGAAAGCCGTAGTAAAACCATTYGGCCCCAGTGCCTTAGATCTATCCATTGAGAAAACGGCTTGCCTAATTTCCTCCATCTCAAAGTTCCTTTCTAGCCATCCTTTATTTTCTTCAGAAAGTTTCTGCCAAGTAACACCTTCCATCACTACTCTATTACCTAAAGGCCTCCTAAGGATAGATTTGAAGTGGGCAACAAAACAATTGGCTATCTCCTCTTGAGACTCATGTACCACTCCATCCACGTCAACTTTAGTCACCAGATTTTTCCTCCTCCTCCCATTGGCCATCTCATGGAAGAATTTAGTATTTCCATCTCCTTCCTTAATCCATTTGCATCTAGATTTCTGCCTCCAAGAGATTTCTTCTCGCAGTAGTACCTCTTCTAACTCCCTATTCAACTTCCATCTCAATTCTTGTTCCTACAAATTCATGGTTCTTTGGGACTCTTTTGTATCCAACTCCTCTATCTGGATTGACAGAGATGATTTCAGTTCTTCTAATCTCCCAAAATGGTTTCTATTCCACTCTTTTAAATTTGTTCTCAAACTTTTCAACTTTTTGTGGAATCTCATCCCTTTCCACTTCACCCCATTTATATCTTCCCTTCACCACTCCTCGATCTTCTTCACAAAATCAAGGTGTCAACCACATGTTTTCAAACTTTAAGGCTCGAGGGCCACACCTAAAAGGCTCTTGTCCTAGTTTAATGGGACAATGATCAGAAGTAACTCTAGGAGTAGCTCTAGCTACCAAATCCTATTAAAGATTTCTCTTTCACCAAAAAAAAAAATCCTGTTAAAGCTTTCTCAAGTTTTAATAGGATAAATTATATTGAAGTTGTGCTTGAATATCAGGAACTCACCAAGGAGTTTGTCTTGATTCCCTGATGAGATGGAAAACCAAAAATGATCATAGATTGCATGTTGACTTCAGCAGAGTTCTTGGGGTTTACCTTGATTATGCATTAACTGTATTAGGTCTTTATTATTTCCCCAAGCATACGAGTGGTGATGTAGCTGTTTTGGTAGGGCTTAAAATGCAAATTCACAAGCTTAATGGCCCCTCTAAGTTTGGCCTATGAGGTATCAAGATCTTTAGAGCAATTCCATTCAAAGATCTTGCTAGTAAGCATGCAACACAACTTGTAAGGGATTGACAAGGAGCCCAAGAGTACTTTGGGCTATGGAGGGTTGCCTTGCTTAGTTGCAAAGGTATTTTGTACATGGTGCTATTATATACTTTTATATTCTTAATTTGTTTTTTTTGATAATTAAAAATGATCAATTTCATTAATAAAAAACTAGTACAGTTACAAGTTTCCTTTGGAGAGGCACGAGCTGCATCCTCTCCTACCAGTAGGAATAAAGACAAAAGATAGAAGACAGATTCAGTCTACAATTGAGCCCAATACAAACTTTCCCTATTTACCC